TTAAGCCAATCCTAAAAATAAAATAATAAAACTAATTCTTTTTTTAAAAGACTGTTTCAACGCTTCCAGTGATGAAAGAAAGTCTTTTTATTAAAACTTCTCCTTATCCAGTAAATAACCACATGTTCAACAGCAATAAAATATTGGTGAGAGATAAACATTCTTCATTTCAAAGCAAGGAGCCTGCTGAACGGTGATACAGTTTCAAAAGTATGTTATTTGACAAGGGAACTCTCATCATACTCCTGAAAAAATTTTACGCTGCTGTGATTTTGTTTGTGGGTTTTTCTTTTCTTCCAAATTGAAGGAATGTACTTAACTCTAATCAGAACCATCAAAGCCTTTTAAAATGCCCATAGAATTTAAAATGTCTGGCTTTAAAAAGAAAATAAAGTGTTTAAAATCTCAAGTGCTGGTTTTCTTTCCCTGTTGAGTTCTGGATTTCAGAATGGCAAGATGTGTTTATTTATAAGGGATCTAACAAGTATTTATAAAAACTTAGCCATGTGCCAGGCCCAGTTCTAGTCACAAGATATGTTCTAGTCTAAAAGAAACAGGTTTCCAGCCTCCAGGTAGGGAACTAGAAGAAGGTATACTGATACATGCCTCTAGTTCCAGCACTTAAAAGGTAGAGGCAGGAGATGCAGAGGTTCATCATCATCCTCAGCTACATAACGAGGTTGAAGCCAGCCTGGGCTATCTGAAACCCCTTCAAGGAAAAGAGAAGGAGATGGAGAGGGGGAAGAAAAGGAAAGTTACTGGAAGAGCAGTTCATGTGAAGGCAGACTTTGAGTGATTATGATGCACGATTAAGGAAGGAAGTTCTAACCGCAAGTATAGAATTCAAGAGAGATTAGAGACACATGTGAATGAGTAGTTTATTTTAGAGTAGAAGAAGAGAGTCCTTTGTGAGAGAGTGATGTTCGAACTGAGGTTTAAATGATTGAGAGCTCATCCATACGGTGGTCTTGGGGAAAGGATGATGCCTGGCGAGGGGTGGAAGGATGGCTGACGAAGCCTAGCAGAAGGCTTCTGTGTATGGTCTGAAGGTGGTCAGGCATCCTCCTCAGACACCCAGCTCAGGGTTCCCAAAGACCACAGCCCAGTACACAAGACAACCACTCAAAATAATGATAAAGAGAAGGAGGAGGAGAGAAAGAGAGAGGGGATAAGGAGGAGAAAGCTGTGCTCTGTCTCTTTTACTGTGCTGGGTATTGGATTGGTCAAAGCCACCATAAGGTTTACAAATTGATAGGAAGGAACACAAAGGAGAGGTGAGGAATTGGGACCATGTTAAAAATTTCCAAAGTATAAGTTTTTCAAGGACCAAGGTAGCCTCCACCTTTTAACTTGTTCATGATGATTTTTTTTCTTTTGTTTGGTTTTTTTTTTTTTTTGGTTTTTGGTTTTTGGGGATTGGGGAGGGGGGCATCTGTTGTTGGTTTGGTTTTTCTTTCTTTATTTTATTTTTTTTTTTGAGGCAGGGTTTCTTTGTGTAGCCTTAGCTATCCTAGAACTAACTGGACTAGGCTGGCCTCAAGGTCACAGGGATCCACCTGCTTCTGCCTGGGATTAAAGGTACGCGCCACCATCGCCTGGCCAATGATTTTTATTTACAATATTTTGTATCATTTTCCTTATGGTTGCTTCTAATGCTTTGCAATTCATTTGTAAAGAATATTCTTAAAATATCTATTTATAAAAATTAAAAATGAAGCTGGAGAAATGGAGTTAGGAGTTAGAAGTACCTGCTGCTCTTACAGAGGATCAGGATTCAGTTCTCAGCCCTCACATTGAGTGACTTATAACTCACTGTAACTCCAATTCTGGAGAATTCAGTGTCTTCTTCTGGCTCCCATGGGGACATGAACACATATGATAATATACATACACTTAGGAACATATACATTAAATAATACATTTTTAAGTTAAAGGTATCATCAATTAATATATTTGAAAAAAAACCCTTATGTTATTGTCTTCAGCTCCTTTAAATTCTAGACATTGTTGGTACAGCCATTTAATTCTTACCTCTTTTATCCTAAAAACCTTGTCAATGACAATTCATCTAATAAGTGCATGTTGAACCATATACTTAATCATACAATTATTATGTGAAGAAAATGAAGTTTGAATATTTCTTGCTTATAGTACTTTGCCATATTTCTAGCTCATTCTTCCAAAATAAACTGATATGCAGTGAGTTTTAAATTGCCTGTGTAAGTAATATTACCACTCCTATCTTTCAGTGTTTCAATCCTGAATACTTTGATTTGTTTCATACACAGTGACTATAACACTCTTTCCAATAGGGTTATGAGTGGCAAAGTAAAAATTAAAGTCTCCTTACATTACTAGCAACAAAGAGCCTTTTAACTAGTAATTAGTTTAAAGGAAGTTCTTCTAGTTAAGAGAGAGGGGGAAACTTCTTTTAAATATATGTAGTAAATTATCAGTACATGTTAAATCAAATGCCAATCTCATGGTCTAAAAATGACAACTCAAATCTCTCAGGTTATTTTCTGTACTACAGTATTGCACTTTAAAAGGGGGGAATTTGCCTTTGTATTGTAGATCTGTGTTTTGAGTGTGGATCCGTGAAAGCTATTCAGGGGGAACTAAATTCAATTGAATGTACAACATACACCCAGTAATAACTCTTTAGGACTTCTACTCATGTTGTATCTCTTTCTCCTCTTCCATTTTCACCACAATCAGAAAGAAAGCATAAATTTAGCAGAAGTCATTATGAAAACTACTCTAGTCTATTGAAGGGGTTGTCAACCTGTGGGTCCCAACCCCTGTGGTTGCATATCTGATATCCTACATATCAGATATTTACACTATGATTCATAACAGTAGCAAAGTTATAGTTATGAAGTAACAGTGGAAATAATTTTATGGTTGAGGGTCACCAGAACATGATGAACTGTATTAAGAAGATTGAGAACCACTGATCTAATGCAATTAGTCATTGTGAGGGGAGGGACGACAGTTTTCTTTTCAACTATAGTTGAATAGAAAAGAGGGGAGGGACTATAATTCCTTTTCAACATTCTATCTCCACTATCAGTATTGTGGTTTGTACTTAACCAGTGCTTATGGTATTGAAGAATAATGTATCAAGAGGCATACATGGCATCTATCGTCCTGTGTCAGAAATCAGCTCACAATTTGGAGAGTTCTTTCTCATGGAAGCAACTCTGCTTGCAGGGTCTTACCTCCTTAGCTGTCTGCTTCTAGCCAGTCTATTGTAAAGAGTCATACAACACATGCAGAGGGCTGGAAAAGTCCAGCATTTGTGTCCATTTATTGCCAATGAACTTTATTACCAGGTAGTTTGAGGTCCCATGGCTTTCTGAGTAGAGAAGATGTCCAAATCACTCAGGGCTGAGTATTTATGTCTCAATACCCATAAGAGGTGAAAATCACACTGATAATGGAGCCACCCTCAGTTCTGAGGAAAAATTGTGCAGGCTTCATGGGGAAGTGGTATGCCAGAGGCTGGGCATTACAATTCTATAGATTCGTTTTGTGTTGAATACCAATTACAGCAAAATCCTAGAACCATACTCTGACCACAGCCACTAGTTGCAGACAGGTCAATTACTTCAAATCAATTAAAAGCAAAAAGAGTAGACTGTGTGGTTCCCTAGTCACACTAGCCATATTTTTAAGAGCTAAACAGCCACATGTAACAAGTGGATACCATATTAGAAAGCAGAAAATATGGAACATCTGTTTTATTACAGAGAACATTAGAGAGTACTATTCTAGAATATACCACTTATTGCAAAAATACTTCAGATTGGATACCCAATTCTACGTTTACTTCCTAATCAACAAAAGGTGACTTTCAAATCTTGTTGACCTAAATTCTGATGTTTCTGTTTAAATCTTTTCTGAACAACAAATACAGATATCTCCTGGGCACATCTCTGTGCAACACAACAAAACACATGAGAGTATCTGTTAGGAAAAGCAGTGAGGTTCTGAAGCCTGGCTTCAGTGGGGAAAATCTCACATGACGTGGGAAGTGTCTCAGTGAGGGCGATGTATGAAGAGGGTGTATCTGCTTGACGTGTGTCAACATGGAAAGGAAATTTACACAAGCCAAAGCCAGCCACATCCCTTTGGATAAGTCATGAAGAACAGCTTCTAATTCAACATGTATTCAAAGGAGGTAGAAAACGTATCTTTTGAAAGATACATTTGACTTTTCTTAATTTTCTTCCTCAGGCATTACTTCCTCACAAATTGGCTTGTGAGGAATAATAAATGCCCAATTCATTCCTAAAGGGAATAGAACTACTGAAAATTGAGTACATGATGATGGGAACTAGTAAAGACAAAAGGTGCCTGATCTATTTGCACAAACATGTATATATGTGTTAGCTTTGTGTGACCGTAACCAATATGTTAAAAAAGAGAAGTGTCTCTGGGGTATGGTTTTGGAAGTGTCATGTCATGAGCTCTTGACTTTTGTTTCGAGCCTTTAGTGGTACATTATAGTGGCAGTGAGTGGAAGAGGAAGCTTGTTCATTTTGTGATAGCCAAAAAACAAAGGAGAAACATCAGGGTACCAATATTTCCTCAAGGGCACTCCCCCAGTAACCTAACTTCCTCCTACTAGGCCGCGCCTCTTAAATGTCCACCACCTCCCAATGACTGCACAGACTAACCAGGCATTTAACATATGGACCTCTGGAGAGATTCCAAATCTAAACTATAGGAATATATTCATAAAAATAAACACATACTTGTTTACATAAATGTAAAAAAATGTGCTCTCTCTCTTCTTATCAATACATAAGGATTTGTATTATATCTTAAATGTGCACTGAAATTTTTATGTGTTTATATATTTCTGCTACACAATTTCTCATATGATAAATTGTATCTACTAAGAAATTCTCATATGATAAAAATACAGTCAGTAATAATTATTATTTTTACTTTATATACAATTGAATTAAAGCATCCTCATTTTTTCACTTCAGAAGCTGTTCTGGAAATAAAGCAAATCCTGTGAAGAGACAAGCCCCAGCCCCAGTGGTACTACAAGAAAAGTCAAACAAGGACATCTGTCCTCAATTCTACTGGCCAGCCAAGCCTAAATGTAAGTTTGAAGAGGGAGGGAGGGAGGCACCAGCCATGGGGTGGTTCACATGTGAAGCAGACACTTGATGCCATGGAGTGCATCAAGAACTAGGCAGATAGGTATGCAGCCTTTCTGCAAATACTATTGTCCTGTCTCCCATACTATCTACACTGCTGAAAAAGACTTAAGACTATCACTAATATCGAGTTTAAAAAATAAACTCACAGTAAAATACAGAGTGCGAGCCTGGATGATTTTAAGTCCAGGCATGTTGAAATAGAGTCTTAGAATAATCGTTTCCATAGGACCTGAGTAGGTATCCAAGTGTTCACCAGATGCTAACAGCTAGATTGTACAGAGAAAAATTGCTAGCTTAAGCTTCTTTTCATGATTCAGCAAAGGACTTTAAGTAATAAAAGATCTGGAGATTTGTAAAATAAATAATTCCAGTGCAAATGGGAAAATTAAAATAATCTTATCATCTCTCAGACATGTCTATATGTGTTTTTCTACCATTATCATATTTCTCTTAATTGGGACCATTTTTTTCCAGCTGATATTTTATAGTTTGAAGTTATGAGCTAAAATGGAGAAATTATTCATTTCAGATGACTGAAGTGATATGTACGGAATTTTCCCAAGGACAGTCTAGGATGTTTGAAATACAGCATGATATAACAAATATGGTTTTGTTCACATGTGGTATTCAATACATCCACAGTGAAAAGTAATAACAGCATAGCAGAATCTTTTATTCTTTAATTGATGTCTCAATAGAAGCAATAAAAATGTAAAGTACATCATTAACTTTTGAACTTTGATGGAAAAAAAAGTCCACATCATACCATCCGTTTCTGACAAGTAGACATTATACCTACACCATCCTTTGCTTATTACTGTTGCCTGGTTTTTAGTGTGACTTTTGGACTCATGGTTTGAGAGTTCCTAATACATAACAGCACAATGACTTTTTACAGTGTAGTTTTAGTTTATAATTAAAAGATTGATTTGTTAAGATTTTTCAGGTTTTTTTGTGTTCTTGTGCTAGAGAACCACTTGAACAAAAAGACACATCCAGCACAGCATCCCGCCACATGATCATATCCTGTCTCGAATCCATTCAGAGTACCTGGAGGAATGTAAATAATTTAATGATTTTACTAAGATATTACATTTTTAATACAGATACTGCCAATTATTTGGACTGGGTTCCATCAAAGCCAGATGTTCTCCAAATAAAATATTCACCACGCAAAGCCATTGAATAAAATATACATGTTTGCTTAAGCAGCAGATTATAGGATTCAGGTTGATGGAGTCTGTTGGAGAAGCAAGTGAGAAGAGGCACAGCATGGGCTGTATCCACTCTTGGGGAAGGCTGTGAACTAAATCCCAGAGAAACTCTGTAGCTGTTACAACCAACTACAGACTCGGCTTCTGGATTTCTTGTAACAAAATCTTGCTGCCAAGGACACTGATGGACTCACCCAGTAAAAAATTACAATAATAATGTTCAACTAAATCATAAAAAACACAGAAGGTGATTATTACAGGGCAAAGAAGGGGAATTGCTTGTAAAAGTTGTGGTAGAAAGATCAAAAATACATTTTATTGGACTTTTTAAAAATTAAGTTCTTTGTTTTTAAACTAAGGTGAAAAAGTAGTAAAATGTAAAGGTGACTCAATAAACTATTTCATTCAATAGTCAAGAGTAGTGATTCGGCAAGTCAAAGTAAAAATCACCGTTATTCAATATGGAGAATTCAGGCAAGTCTGAAGCTTTAATCACGAGTTTTCTAATGAAAATAACCATCTGAAAGTCATTTTAAAGAATTTTGATTGAAAGAAGAATAAAGAATTGTTGAGGATATGTCTTTTTCCTTGTCAAAATGAATTGGGTTTATGCTTACTTTCACACAGAACTAAAAGTCTGTGTTTTTTCAATGTCCTTTTAAGTTCTGCAAAGACGTTCATTTGACACAATATAGAAAATGACCCAAATACATAAATATAAATACTATGACAGGCATACAATTAGAGAAAGAGAAACAGATCATTGTATACCTCCGTGGTTTCCAAAATTATACAAGGGAGCTTTCTAAATTATTTTTAATTAGGTAGAGCTCCTTTCCTGATCATTTTTTACCTTCTAAAGCACAGATTACCTATGCATATACCGCAGACATCTGGGTACACATATTCCATACTTTCTTCAAATGAAATAGCCTATCTGCAAGTGATTAAAAAATATAGAAACAAACTTCTGACCACTGAATATCTAGCATGCCTTATACAGAGTAAGCACCAGATAATATGGGTTAGGCCCACAAATTCTCACTTTCTGTTTATCATTAATGTGTCTCTTGGAGTCACACTGTAAGTGGTAGTGTCTCACACATAAGAATTAATGGAGTACATCTGTAACCAAAAATATCCATGGAAAACTTGCTGAATTGATCTATATCTGTTTTATTAATCAAGTCCAGTACAGAAAAACTTTCTTGTGGTTGTACTGTTTTAGAGATAGAGTTGAGAAACTACAGTTTAATTCAAAAGTTGTTTGAAACTTTGAAGAACATGGGGTTTTATGTTATATGACATCAGTAAAGTTCAGTCCTTGATGGCTATAATTCTAAATATATAAGGATATAAATATCCTTATATATACTTTTACTGTAAAACATTATGCAAGTAACTGTTCAATATGGAATTTACTTCTTAATGCCATTCTCCTCTTTCCTCAATCTTTTAAATAAAAAGGTTTTTGAAAAAAGCACCATTTTTAAACTAGTTTGGTATGAACAGCCTTTAGCTGAAGCAGATGCCTGGAAATCAGAGGCCTCAGATACTATCCTTCATTCTCTACCAATTTGGAATGTGGCCTTGGGCAAGTCATGAGAGCAAAATCTACAATAAAAGAAGTAATAATGCCTTACATGTGCATGGCATTTTATGGTTTAACAGCACACTTTCACATACAATATCTTATTTAATCTTACCCCCAGTCTCCCGAGAGGAATATGGTAGTATTATAAAAATTTTCCATTTTAAAGAATAGGGATTTGAGAGCCAGAAGAACTAAATCACATAGGCATATCAATAGCAAATGTCAGAGCCAGAAAACAGACAATTTCAGATGTGGGGTTGGTCTTTGTCATCCCTCTATACCACATTGCCACTCTCTGGTGTCTTCCTGTGTGATAAACTTAGGTGAGCAGCACTGTCTAATGTGGTGGTCACAAACCACATAGGGTTATTGAGCACTTAAAATGTGGTTCATCCTCATTAAGTCATGCTTTTAACAGAAACTATATGCCATCATTCTTAAGGCAATATACTGAGTTGAATGAAATAGCATGGTTGTAGATAGTAGCTGCGTTAATATGTATAACTAAGAATGAGTGAGTTTACCTGTCTCTTTATAGCTTTGCAGTTTTTAGCACAGCTACCAGGAAATGTAGTTGGATATATGACTCACATGATTCTGTGGGGTAGTGCTACACCAGTGAATCCAGTGCTCAGTACCTGCAGAATGATTTCATAGTACCGGGCTTGTTTAAGCACTTGCCTTGATGTGACTTAAACAAATTTCCCGAGATCCTATCAGAGCATAGTGTATATTAATGTCAAAGATTCAGCCTTATTTGTTTATCTTCTATACCCAGGGAGAAGATCAGGCTTCACTCTTGGATGCTTCAAAATGTTCACCCATTAGGAGAGTTCATTTTATACTTAATGCACAAAAGGCTTAGAAGCTAAAATTCATGAGAAAATCATAAATTATATTCATAGCTCTGTATCACTTCTTATTTTAAAATATGCTCTTCCATAAATATCATGAGTAAAAAGAGATATCTGTTACGCTAATATAGGCGATGCTAAAGAGTATATGTAAATTTGTTAACTAGTAAATTTTGGCCTGTTCACTATAACCCCAAAAGTAACAGCTCTTACAAGAAAAAATCTAACTGAAATTCTTCAAGGAAAAATACAACCCCAAACACCAACAACTAACATCTATCTGTCATTTACTATATGGGCTCAGGTCTTATGCTGAAAGTTAAACTAAGATTGTCTCCTTTAATCTCCATGGGGGTTTGAAAATCAGCAAGAGGAAACAGAAAACATAGCTTTTCATTAATATTGCTTCTTACTTTCAGACACAAGCACAAGTTTAAAGATCAAAGTTGTAATGTGTGTGTAAGGAAGCAATGGCCATGCTCATTCTCAAAGGCACAGACAGTCCCGTGAGAGTTGCACGTCTCCCGCTTTCCAACAAGTGGGCCATGAACCACTAATACAGTCTGTTAGAATTTGCTTTTGTATGACCCAGGAAGATATGCAAAAGGTCATTGGAAATAAACCATGTAAAAGCTGGTTTGAGCTAAAATAGGGTCTTACTGAAACTAAAAGTTGAAATACAGGACTATTATAGGGATCCTACATAAATTCATAGTGGCCTACCTGGTCTGATCATTCTTTTATTAATTCAACACTAAAATTTTTCTAGAATGAACATTGAGAAATGAGTGGTCTGTGTCATTTATTTGTTACCTCATAAATACACAGATCCTCAGAGCTGAAAGAGTCTTCTGGATTATTCTATCCAATGCAAATATTTTACAGATGAAAACCTACATTATAGAAAGATAACTTCCTTATGAAAAAGTTAAATAGCTAAAAGGAAATATCCTAAATAGTCCTTGACCATCTGTACTTACTAGGAAGGACTATGCACAGTGTTTTGAGTCCTGCCAGAATTTTCAATACAATTTGAATTTCCAGTTTAGTAGTTGGCACTTCTAACCAGGGAAGATAAGATGCAAATGTTGACTGTGAAAAAAAAAATCACATTCACAGTAAGTGCTTATAAAATAGAAACAAAAGTGCAATAAACCCATGATTTCAGACTAGCTACTCACTCATGACTCAGCTTCCTCTCCTTAGTGACTCAGATCGTTGAAATGAACTTTCTTTGCCACTTTCCCCTCACAATTCTTCTATTATCATGAGAACCC